GATAGGTATGTTCTACTTTTTTGTTGTAATCTGTTTACCTTTTGCATTCATTTATATATTTTCTTCGGCTTTTGTATGAGCCAAATACTTGAGGATTTTGTTTTTTTTTAGTCATAACACGTTTGGGGCATCAAGATTTCCTTTCTTTACTTTGTAGTATTATAATCATTCTAATTTCCTTTTCAAAACTACTTCAGAGTAGTTTTATTTCCTTTTTATAGCACAGTGGGATAAAGTTATACTTATTGAGAATGGTGATGATTGCTGTCATTTTCCTTGATTATTTCACTCAAGTTTAGTATACTGTCTGAAATTTTGGGCTGGTTCAGCCCTTGAATGTTTGAACAGTAGAACAAGAAGCAGAAGAGAGATAAATTATCATTGTGCCTTTCTTTTTGGCTAACATGTTGTTCTGTTTAGTAAGGTTGATTCATTTATGATTGTAAGTTAAATGGCATAAATTTTATAGATTTATGGATTTTTCTACCACATTATGGTATAGGTGATGATTAGTTTTCACCTTCACTAAGAATTTTTGTCTTGTTGCTTGTCTTTGTAAATATTTTTAGATATGCTGGAAAATACCACTTCAGATCAGCATACCCTAATTCAATATTCAGTTTGTGATGTGGCTACTGCTGGTTGCTTTTATCCAAATTTATAACAAGAATCATAAGTTTAAAACAAGAGCAGAAAATTTTGAAAAATTTAAATTTTAGCCTCAGAGGAGTCACTTGTAAATTTAGGGCCCAAAGAAAGAATATGTTTTAAAAAGAAACCAAGTAGGGCCGGGGATTTAGCTCAGTGGTTCTGGTGCCTGCCTCGCAAGCCTAAGGACCTGAGTTCGATCCCCGGTACCCCCCAAAAAACAAAACAAAACAAAAAAAAGAAACCAAGTAGCCCAAGGATTTAGCTCAGTGGCACCATGCCTGCCATACATGTGCAAGGTCCTGAGTTCAATCCCTGGTACTGGAAAAAGAAAGAAAGAAAAAAAAATCAAGTAACTTTGTACAAGGCCAAGAAGAAAGATCCGTGAGAGGATCTTGGGGAGCAGTAGGATCCCACCCATTGAAGACTGTACTCATTTGATGAAACAGTTGCTGGGTACTCTGATAGATGAGTGCCTCCTAGGAAATTGGTTCTCTTGGATTCATTTCACTGTGCTCAGCCCCTCAGGAACTCAGAGGCTACTGCAACCATTGTCCAAGGGGGCGTGGTTACTGCTTTTGCTGACAGCAGACGTTGGCATGATCCACCTGATGCTAGTTTCATCAGTGTGCAGAATATGAGTTGTGGGGTCAAGGAAGCCTCTCCCAGATTTCAGAGGAGGGCTTTGGAGGCAAGGCAAGAAGCCTCTGAAAAGGCAGTATGTGAGGCTGTGGAAATGAAGCCAAAGGTGTAGTGGGGAGCCCAAAAAGTCAGGGATGCGAGGAACATGGAATGTTTGCTGAGGACAGCTGCATGCTGTGATCAGAGCCAGCCCAAAAGACAGGCCTTGCTGGGGCTGCAACAAACAAGGTCATAGGAGTGCAGCTGTATACGCCCTTTAGACCTTACATCTCACTACCATATGCCCTAGACGCCAAATATGGAGTTACAGGGCTTGATGTTTGCCCTGCTATGTTTAGTCTTGTAATCTTATCCTTTTCTATCCCTCTTATTCTTCCCCGTTTGGAAAGGAAATGCTTATCTTATACCATTTTATCTTGGGATTACTATGTAACTTGTTTTTCATTTTTACAGAGTTTTACAACTAAGAGTTTATCTTGAGTCTTAGAAAAGACTTTGACATAGACTTTTTAAAAATGGCAGAACTGTCAAGACTTTGGGAAAGAGATTATTGCGTTTCACTTGTATGTTGGATAGTTGTACCATGTTGAATAGAATTGTGACCTTTTGTTTATTTGGGTATTAAGTAAGGTTTAAGGAGATGTGTTTAGGTAGCAAATTGATAAGGGGTTGCAAGAGATTCCTACAGTTCTTGCAGATTCCTCTAGTTCCCAACTGCCCAGTGTGCAACTCAGGCCTGAGAAAAAATATACACTAAGAGATAGAAGTAGGAGATAAAGCAGGGTGCCAGGACAACCAGTGCTGGTGTTACCCAACAAAGGCCCTGTGGCCAGTTCCAGGGACATTTTTATTTGCAATCATCTGGGGTAAAGTCAACGTGTGGTTTCTGTGGAAATTAGTGTAAACAAGGCTCATTAAGGAAAAAGACAAAGCATTCTCAAATTATGAGCAGAATAGACAAAATATATGCTTGTAATTAAACCACTGTCCTTCTATTCTGAATGTTTTAGTTGTGGGAACAGAATGTGGATGCGAATTACTCTGACCTCGGCATGTAGGCTTCAGCCAGACTCAGTTCTATAAACAAGCCAAAGGTGAGGTTAACTGTTCACAGCCTGCTTTGAGCATAATCAATATTATGGTCCTCTGCAAGGAGTGGAATGTGACAGTAAGCTTGATTGTGTCAATTTGATTGGCTTGGGAGCCACACAAGGAATTGTCTGGGCACACTTCTGGGTGTGTCTTTGTGAGTCCTGGAAGTATGACCTTGGGTACTATATTTGGTCCCCAGCCCTTTCCTTTCTGATGCTGTTCTCATGTTGTACTTCCCAGCCACTATAAACTTAGCATCTTTGTTCTGTTATACTCTTCTGCTATGATATTCCTGTCATGGTAACAGCTTATCATAGACCAAATTCCCTGAAACTATGAGCCAAATTAAACTTGTCTTCCTTTAAATTATGGTTGGTTGAGTATTGTGTTCCAGCAGTAGGAAAGCTCACCAATATGTATATTACTTTAAACATTTTGTCCCAAACAGAATGCTATCAAGTAAAATAAATTATATGCAGTCATTATTTAAAAATTTAAATGCTGAAGAGCAAAGTAGTATAGAAAGATGTTATCTAACCAGGCTGAGTTTGTACTATAAAGAGTATGTCATATCTTGATCCTTTTTATTTCCCCTTCCTCTCGTTTCCTTTCTCCATCTTCAGTACACCTTCCTATCTCCAAAAGTCTGTCTTCGGCTGGGTGTGGTGGCGCACGCCTGTAATCCCAGCACTTGGGAGGCTGAGGCAGGAGGATCACTGTGAATTCGAGACCAGCCTGGGCTACATACTGAGTTCCAGGTCAGACTCAATTATATAGTGAGAATCTGTCTCAAAAAAAAAAAAAAAAAAGGTCTATCTTCGTTTCCTATCATCTTTCTTTTATTTTGCTTTTTAAGTTATTTATACTTTGAACTTCTCATGTTAGGGAAGCTGCAGTATTTAACCTTCTGTGTCTGATGTATTTCATTTGGGATTATGGTCTCAAGGTGCAGCCATATTCCTACAAATGATTTAAATATCCTTTATAGTTGAGTAGTACACCTTTATGTGTACATACCACATTTGCTTAAACCATTCATCTACTTAAGGACATATAGATCCAAGATTTAGCTGTTACGAGTTGTGCTGTTCTAAACATTAGTATGTTTTTATCATTTTATATGAAATCTTTTTTTTTCTTTTTTCCTTTTTATTGAGGTTATTGGTACAATCTAGGTATACAATACAATTACATTCATCGTTGGGATTCTGTACCTTTACACAATAGGTCTTGATTCTCATTTTTCCCCTTGTCCCTGCCCTCCCTTCACCCCCTCCTCCCCTCCCCATTTACAAACACTTTATTTCCATTTTTTCAGTTTCTCATATTTTTTTCCTCTCCCTTATTACCTTTCGCCCACCCTTCCCACTTTCCTTACACCTTTAGCCCTTTCCTATTTCACATTATTAATTATCTCATTAGGATCCTGTGTACTATTATAGTTTTTCACTCCAAAGAAACTATTCGGTATTTCAGTTAAAGAAATCTCTGTATGAACATTAAAAATAGGGAATCCTAAAATACAACTAAAAAGGAAAGTAAAAGAGAAAAGGCAATGATGTAACATCAAAATAATCCTTAATTCTGGAGATGAAAATGGTCCCTGAACATATTTAAATTGCTTCTCGCTCTTATAGTCTTATCTTATTCTTTTTTTCATTATTTAGAGAATACTTTATTAATTTCTATAATCAAACCCACGTAGATATGACCTTACATATTTAGTATGATGTGTTACCCCTGTACACATGGAGAAAAAAATAAAAATAAATTAACATTTCTAAACCAACTCTTGGAAAGATACCCACCCAGAAGAAGAACACCTAGGTCAAATGGAATCTCTATTTTTCCTTTTCAGAGGAAGCTTCATACTGATTTCCATCTTGGTTGTACTGGTTTACATTCCCATCAACAGTGTAGATTCCTTTTCCTCGCAACCTTGTTAGCATTTATTGTTTTTTGAGTTTTTGTTTATAGTCATTCTGGAGTAAAGATGGATTCTCAGTGTTGTTTTGATTTGCATTTCTGTAGTGGCCAAAGGTGCCAAAACTTAAAATTTTAAGTGAATGATAGTTACTCTCTAATTTTTGTAGTGAAGATAGACTTTACTAATAAGTATAAGAAATCTAGAACAGAGCCTGACAAACAAAATGCTAAAAATCTGATTATGATAATAAAGCTAGACCATAGGATTCCTGTGTTTCTTTGACTAACTTTAAGAATTTTATCAATATTTTATAATAATCGTTTTGAAAGATAGTACCTTTGCATTTTTTCCAAATATTTGTAAACTCTTCAAAAAATATGAGCTATAATAAAAATCATACTATTCTAATTAAATAAAATACAAATTTCATTTAATTGTAAGTTATGTTGCCATTATGTGTTGTTTAAAGATAATAAACCTTGCAGAAAAATAATTCATTTTTATGTTAAATTTTGGTTTCACCAAATTTTTTTCTTTATGTCATTTAGTAGAAGTTATGTGCATTAAGTCACCACAGGATATTTTCTTTCTCTGTAGTTTTATATATATTATAAATTGTTTGATAAACAAGTTATGAAATATATCTGATGTGCTGTTTTTAAATAAACTTTGTGCTTTGTTTTCACTTTAGGCCCAGGCCTTATCTATTTAAGGGAGATCATAAATTTCCCACAGACAAAGAGAACTTACCAGTAATTATTCTCTATGCAGAAGTGGGTACCAGAGCATTTAGTGAATTTCACAAAGTACTGTCTGAGAAAGCTCAAAGTGGTAAAATTCTGTATGTTCTTCGTCATTATATTCAGGTACATGCTTGTTTTTTGCAATATTATTTTGAATACAGAAAAATAATTTTTAAGATAATTTTACTAGAGTTATATGATTTCCCCAGAACAGTTAAGATTTTAAAATTTAAAACAATAAGCATATGAGTTTAACATAAAAAAATGTATCCAGATTCTATCTCTTCTGGAGTATCAGGATTGTCCTTTCCCATATATATCTGGCACAGATTTAACTTACATTAAAAAAACTCTTCAATAACATTATAATATTTGCTAAACTTTATAAATATTACTACTTTTAAAAAACTGTGTCACAGTTAAGGAATCTGATTTATCTGATAATACATTCAATTTGCTAAGTGTGGTATAAGAATACTCTTAACCCTATTTCTTTTGAGTGATTACTTTCTTCCTCAAATTTCTGTTCAAATTTGCTGTATTACCCTGTCTTTCCCCAGCCTCTCATCACTGTCACATACTATGACGTTATTCTGATTCCATAGCATATATATTATATCTCAAATGTCTTATCCCCTCTTACTTAGGTTATAATCTCCATTAGAGGACTTTGCTTTTTTCAATATTCCTAACATGTAAAAAGTTTTAATTTGCATTTCCTAAGTTATTAATGATTTATATAATAATATACAATATAGTAAAAACATTTCAGATATATTTATAAATTGCCTATTCTCATATCCTTGTTCAGTTATTGTTTTATTTATAATTGATTTGTAAGTTTTTTTTAAATAAATCCCAAATACTAGTCTTTTCTTCCTTACTTAGTAAACATCTGCTAATGTATTTATAGACTTTTGTTATTTAAACAGTATTGTTTATGACATCTTTCATTGAACAGTTATTGAGGTATCAAATTTTATCTTATTCCTTAATGATTTCCTTCACGATGTCATAAAGACATTCTCTTATCTTTTTTTTTTTGGGGGGGGGGACCAGGGATTGAACTCGGGTCTTTTGCGCTTGCAAGGCAGGCAGCGGAACCACTGAGCTAAATCCCCCGCCCTCTTATCTTTTCTTATAAGGGTTAAAGTTCCATTCTTTATATTCTGGTCTTGTTTTTTTTGTTTTGTTTTGTTTTGTTTTGTTTTCTTTTGGGGTACAGGGATCGAAATTGGGTCCTTGTGCTTGTGAGGCAGGCACCAGAACCACTGAGCTAAATCCCCAGCCCTATATTCTGGTCTTTATCAGACTTTATTTTACTATTCTTTGGGGTAGAGCTATAACTCTGTTTTTTCCCATGTGGAAAGTCACCCCACATAATTCATTAAACAATCTTTATTCCACTCATTCCACTCCATCATATACCATGTTTTCACATAGGTATGTGCATGTTTTTAGAGCCTGTTCTATTTCAGTGAAATAGCTGTCCAACACAAATACATCATTTTAATTACTGTAGCTTTTAAATAATATCTTGATATAGTACACCTCTGCCTATTAGTTTTTGTTTTTCTAAATACCTTGGCTGTTCTTGATAGACATGTATCTGTATTAATTTTAGGCCCATTTGGTCAGTTTCCATGAAACACTTTGTGTAGAAATGAACTGGGGACCGGGGGTTTAGCTCAGTGGTTCTGCTGCCTGCCTCACAAGCTCAAGGACCCAAGTTCGATCCCTGGGACCAAAAAAAAACAAAAACAAACAAACAAATGAACTGGAGTTTTCTGGTAAATTTTGGAAAAGTCTTGTACTTCATATATATATTGCGCTTGTCTCTGTGAATGTATTTTTACCTCACCATTTAGTCAGATATCTCTTTAAAAGTTATTTTCTGTGATACGCAATATTGGAAATCAGCAGTTATAGTCATGTCAGTCACCTCAGATCCATCCCGTTCACATACATATCTTCAGGGAGCATATGTTTTTGATTCACTAAGATAAATAAATACCAGTTAGGTCTCTTGTTGAGTTATATAGTAGGTCAATATATTTTGCTGTATGATAAATGATACTAAAGTGTCTTCCAAAGCCTCTGATACCATTTTGCACTCACTGCCGCCATAAAAGTTCTGCTGCTATATATCCTAACCATCACAATGGATTTTAGCCAATCTGTTAGGCATGCAGTGGTGGTACCTCACTGTGATTTGAATTTGTATCTCCCTAATAACTAGTGAAGTCAAGTTTTTTTGTTTGTTTGTTTTTTGTTTTGTTTTGTTTTTGTACTGGGGATTGGACTTGGGTCCTTGGGCTTGCGAGGCAGGCGCCGGAACCACTGAGCTAAATCCCCAGCCCAAAGTCAAGTTTTGTGTTTTTTGCCATCTATATATTTTTGATGAGCTTTCTTGTTGAATTCTTTATATGTTCTACAGGTAAGTAATTTATCAATTACATATTTGCCAACTAATCTTACCAGTCTTGTTATTCATCTTGTCATTGTCTTAATATCTTTTGCAGGGCAGTTTTTAATTTTGGTAAAGCTAAAGTTTGTCATTTTTTCTTTGATCATTTTGGTGTTATAATTCATTATTAAATCAAGGTCATTTAAATTTTCTTCTAGAAGTTTTATTTTTGCGTTTGAATTCATGATCCATTTTACACTTGATCTTAACCAAAAGGCCAAGAATCAATCATGGTCCATTTTAGTTACTTTTTGTATAACATGAGATATGTGAAGTTCATATTTTTATATGGAAGTCTAGTTGGTCTAGCACCATTTATTTTCAAAACTGCCCTTCTCCCCTAAATTTACTTTGTACCTTATAAAACATAATTGATTCTATTTGTATGGGTCTATTTCTGGCTATCCTATTCTGTGCCATTGATCTGTATGTCTTTCCTTTTGTAAATGCCACACTTGTTAATGCCATACTTACCTTCTTAAAAGCCCTGAAATTTAGTCATGAAAGTCCAGCTTTTATCCTTTTTTTTTTTTTTTTTGGTACCAGGGATCGAATTCAGGACTTTGTGCTTTCAAGGCAGGCAGCGGCACCGCTGAGCTAAATCTCCGACCCAGCTTTTATTCTTTTTAATATAGTAACTTTACCTCTTAATGTGAATTTTGAAAACAATTTGTCTATGTACAAAAAAATCCTTCTGGACTTTTTATTGAGATTACATTGATTAAATTTATGAAAATTAACATCTTAATATTGAATCTTCCAGTTGATAAAACTAGTACCTCTCTCCATTTAGGTAGACATCCTTAGATTTCTTTCATCAGTGTTTTTCTTTGTTTCTATTACATGTCATCTATTTCTTTTTCTTACCTTATTGTAACGATTAGGATTTCTCATTCAGTGTTGATGGGAGTGGTGAGAGAGGATGTCCTGATCTTGGAGGAAAGCATTTGGTTTTTCACTATTGAGTGTTACATTAGATAGATACATTTCCGTCAGTAACAGTGGCGTGCTAAGACTGTGATTCTTTGTTGGGTGGGAAAGAGATGAGAGGCAAGTTAATGGAGTAAGAAATACAACTATACATTTATCTTATTTAAATGTCCTGCAAGTGATTTCAATATGTGCCCAAGCAAGTATGCCCATCCTTTGAGAATCTGTCTTGAGTAATTCTTTGGAGAATGTGACCATAAGTATTAAAACGCAATGACCAACTACTGGGTCACTTTATACCATTAAATTATATCCTTCTATTCAGTGAGTGATATCTTGTACAATTAAAATAGCTATAATATAAATCAACATTTGATTCTAATAAAAATGGATATTTATGCTCTTCTTTTTTGGAGAAGTAAAGCGAAGAAAGATTTGGCCTACAAACATTTTAGTTTGTAAATCCAAAGTTACTAAGCTATAATTCAAATTTTATATTAATATATTTCAAATGAGGTAAATAAGTATAAATAAAATATTGTATTATTGAGTTATAATAACTCTTTAAAACTGATAATAAATATTAGTTATACATAATTGCATTTCTTTTTGAACTATGACAAGATATGTAGCCTCCAGCTTTAATTTGCTTAGCCACTCGCTAATTGTCTCTCAAGTAGACAGTTAATATATATTTTTCAATTGAGTGGTATGAAATAAAAACGTTTGAACAGACTTTCATCTTTGTCATGTTACTATAATCATAAATAACCTAGTTTTCCACATACTGTCTTTCCATACAGTACATGCCTAAGACAATAGCAAGTTAAATCTTAGTGTGGACAGCAGTACTGAATACTTCTCTGCATACCTGAAGCTAATTCTTACATATTATTATTTGGAAATAGAACAGGTCAAGAAATAGTCACTCTGGTCATATTTTTAAGGCTGGGGAGGACGTTTAGGGCAGAAGAAGAGAATAAAAAGAATTAGCACAATTGGTATTTTCCTCCCTCCAGTATCTACTCCTACACATTCCTCTGTCATATTTAGGCTTGCCAGACTGCCTCTGTGCACACCTAAATTAAGCAGAGATGCATTGCATCTTCCAAGCATTTGCTGAACAATAGATCAAACTGATTTTCCAATCCCTGAATAATATACCAAATGGAAATGTTTTAAGCGCAGCATAAAAATTTTAGTCTGGAGCCGGAAAGAATCTTAGACATCTTTTAAAATATTGTGTATATCTAGGTTGCTTTCTTATTTGAATAAATGTAATGACTTTTTTTGATTGATGGATTCATCTTTAGAGGTACATTTTATATTTGCTCTTTATAGAAAAAAAATTAGGTACCAAAACTCTGATCATAAATACTTTGGATAACTCATTAAACAACTATAGCCCGTCATTCCAAGAACAAATATTACTTTGTGACATTTGATATAAATCATTGGAAACATGAAGGAAAGTTTCAGCAGGGTTTTGTTTTTATTTGTCCTTTCCACCTCCTTTCTAGTATTTACTTGAACTCCAGTCATTCTACACCTAACAAGTGAATAGCATCATTTGCTGATTTTCCAAAGGTTATGAACATCCTTAAAAAGAGTACAGTTTTGCTGGAACTTGACTGTATTAAGTCCTCTGTTAATAAGATTATGGGAAATGTAAAAATTGTGGTGGTAAAATAGAGATCAGATATTTTTTCATTGTAAAAGTGATTAAAGCTGTAGAGTTACAGTAAATTTTTCAGAGAATGAAGAAGGTTATCAGTTGAAGTTTGGCATCTTTATCAACTATGTATAAATGTTCCCACAAATAATAATTTATAGTGTTTAAAATCCTTCAATACTGTATTAGTGCTGGAAAGATAGTTCTTAGTAGAGTGCTTACCTATGTTCAATCCTAAGCACCCAGCACCAACAAAGAAAAAAAAAAAGGCTGGAAATTTAGCTCTGTGGTTCTGCAACATGCCTCAAAAACACAAAGTCCTGAATTCAGTCCCTGGTACCAAAAAAGAAAAGAAAGAAAAAAGAGCCTTTCCCTTCAATATTAGTAATTTGTCCTGATATCTTAATATACCATTCTACTGAATTTTAAACAAGATGCTTGACTAAATTTATTTTCTTTTTATGAAATAAATGCGTTTGAACAGAAACCAGGTTCAAGAAAAATGTACTTATCTGGCTATGGTGTGGAGCTAGCGATTAAGAGCACAGAATACAAAGCATTGGATGACACTCAAGCTAAAAGTAAGTTTATTGTCTCTGTACTTGAGTAGCATGGTAAGTTAGAGGCTAACATAATTTTTTTTATTTTAATAACTGTAATGTTATAAATGTTCATTTGAGGCTGGAGATGGGATGGACATGTTTTTCCTTAGCTTGGAATTTTAAAGGTGAAAGAAATACTTAATATTACTGTGTTCTCAAAACTTTTTTAAAAATAGAAAATAGTATATTATTATACACAGTGACTTCCCAACCATTTTTGTAGTATACTTAAGAAAATAGAAGAGACTGCTTATGGCTAGCAGTGACTTTCCCAGGATTGCAGGGTAGTCTGTGCTGTATCTAGTCAACCTTGGCCATCTAAGAAAGTCAGTATTTCTCTCAGCATGTATTCATTGATGACAGAGTCATTTAGGCAATTTTTTTACAGTGCTAGGGATGAAATACAGGACCTTTCACATGCTAGGACACACTCTACCAGTGAGCTGTATCTCTAGCTCTGAACCACAAATCTCAGGAAACTATGCCTGAAATATTTATAATGGTCAGGATAATTTTTTAAAATAGGACAAACAAAGATTTGTATTGTTTAACAAGTTCGTACCAAGTTGAACTACTGGCAGTATATGTATGACTATCTCATTGGGCATCTTTTACCCCTGGTAGTACAAATGAATCTAGTCACTTTTATTTGTCTTTTTACTAATGAAATTAATAAAAAGCCACCCAATGGGACAGTCAACCATGTACCACTGGTGGTTCAAGCCACTCACAACAAGGCATACAAATTATATATACAAATTAAATCAGGTAAATTTGCCACATTTACAGCATACAAACCAGTATCTTCCCATTATTGTTCTGTGAACAAAGTAGGCACTCTTGCCTGAACCACACTGAGTGTAGAGGAATTGTCCTGGACCACATAATATATATAACTAAGAAAGCTTCATGTTTGAAATATTTTTTATTATAACAGGTATGTCCATCCTCTGGTTTGGACATACCCAATCTATATGAAGAAAGTAGCTTAAGTAAACTGAGAACTTCTCAGAACTCGTGCAGATCTTTTTTACTGATTTATCTGAAATTTATTCATGCGTGGTTATTAAGAGTTTTTAATTCCTTTTATATCCATTCAGATGTGGCTTTAGCTTTAACTTTGGTTTTTTTCATTCATGACCAGATGGTCATGGAGTCCCTGCCTTGATCACAAACTTTGCTTTGGTTGGTCCCATTGAATGTGTTCGAAATAAAGATCTATGTTACAAGAAATGAAATGCTCTTCGTCCAACAGTATATTAAATAAAGTGTAATAGAAATAGTAACATCCAGATTTTATATGTTTCTTTATAGCCCATATATAGTTCTATAATGCTTTATAGTCATGGTAGTAACATCAGTAATGCTACAGCTGTCCTGAGAATTATAGAATTTCCTTTAAAAAGTTAGGTGACCTAGGTTTTATCCACATTACCTACCAAATTCTGCTATCAACATTTTACATATATTTGGAATATTTCTCCCCATTCTATTTGCGAGATTGTTGGGTTCAGTTCTCTTTTCCCTCTGTCTCTCTATGTCACCAGTAAATAAGATTGACAAGAGAGCCGGGGATTCAGCTCAGCGGTTTGGTGGCCTGCCTTGCAAGCGCAAGGCCCCGAGTTCAATCCCTGGTACAAAAAAAAAGATTGACAAGAGATACTGAGTTCCTTAGGTGCCCTCGGGCTGGGCCAGTCTTCTCTAGCCATAAGCAGTCTCTTCTGTTGCCTCAGTGTACCTTAAATATTCTACCTTTTGTTACATGGTGCCAAAAATGTTGGGGAAGCCATGAGGTATAGGTCAAAGAATTTTAATTAGCCACCCCTCTGATCTTTGGTCTTTAAAGCTCTTATTTTCCCTTCCCTCCAGAATATATTAAGCAAGCTATTCATTACAGGGCTTTCAGAATGAACTTCTCACCATGAAAATCTGACTTTGTGATTCTACTCATTTAAAAAAAAGGGGGAGAGACAGACATCAAGAGATGGATAGAGAGGGAGGGGAGGTAGAGTAGGAAAAGGGGCTGAGAAAAAGGATTAAGATGTGTTACGTTACATGAACCAAAAACATGAGTGTACATTATTTACTATACACACATTGTTAAATAAATAAATAAAACCCCAAACTGAAAAAAAAATCCTTTAGTGAGTCCCTGTAAGCCTCCTCATAAATTCAGGTGCTATAATACTGCTATAATACAAAGCTTTTCACATTATGCCTTTTTTCTACCTCATCACTCTCCCTCAGAGCTCTTTCATTTGCGCCCACTGGTTTTGCAGTACTAAAGTATTCAGAATGATGTTTCTATTCCAGATGAAGTTCTGGACTCCACCAGAGCTCTAATGACTCTTGGATTTTGCAATTCCTTCTGTCTCACCTGTCTTTCTTTCTCACATGCTTTTCATTTTATCCAAGTCTTACTCATCTTTTAAGACTCATACATAGCAGTCAGTATCTCTGAAATGCCTGCCTGCCTTTGTTCCTGCTCTATCAGAGGTTGGTTTTCCCTTTTGTATAGCCCACGTTTCTGAGCTTGTGTTGGAAAAGTTTTATTCTATTAAAGTTGTCCATTTTTCTCTTTCTACCAACCATGGTCTGTGTCATTTGTGAGTCTCGTCTTGGTTTTGATATGTCACCCATTAGGCATCATAGCAGGCATTCAGCAAATAATTTCCCCAATGAATGAATGAATAGGAGGAAACGGAAGACTAGATCAAAGCATTCAGGGTTTTTACTTTTAGTCCTAAAGATAGAGAGCTTCAGAAGAGGGAAGCATACTTTCTGAGCTCTGATAAATTCTGATGAAGAGCAACTTTGTGCTGTAAGAGACCACAATTCTTATAATCCCTAAGCATCCTTCACATATTCCAGGTACCATCCAATATAAGTATTTGCTAAGCAAGAAGAGAAATGACTCTAAAATATTATATCTTTATTCTTTCAGTCCATGGGTTTTGTTGACTTCCTAAGGATTACTTCATTATTTTTAAGAGTCTTGGAAATATAAGAAATTGTATTAATTAGGGTTTGGATCTCCTACCAGACTTAAAAGCTAAACCCAGCACTTGTTGCAGGCATTTTTCTGGTTGTAAGATAGAATGTGACTATGAATTGATCTATAAAGCATTCATTATGGTTGCTAAATACTTGTTAATCCAAGCCCATTTAAAAAGAGAGAGCACACCCGGGAAAAACAAGATTTAAAAAGTAGAATTTTATTCCTTTATTAGTAGTAATTTTTTATTACATGTTCTTTTCTTAGTCTGAAGACATTTTTAAAATTTTGTGTTTCCAAAATGTAGCTGTGAATAATACTACTATGGAAGATGAGACTGAAGTAGATGAAGTTCAAGGATTTCTCTTTGGGAAACTAAAGTAAGTCTAAATTGAAATGAAATTGGTATTATACCCTTTTGTTCTTAAAGGAATTAATTTCATAATTGTACTGATGTGCTTTTTTATATACATACCAGTGTTTTATTGTAAATAAATAAACTTAAATATAAATTATTTATTATAAATATTTATTTACAAATATTTATTGCAAAAATAAGTAGTGTCAAAAAGCTAGAAAAAAAAGTCTGAAAAATTTTTTAAATCTCCAATTCCACAACTGCTGCTTTCATAACCTGTTGGCATACTCCTTTCCAACCTTTCTGTGCATATTTTTACAGCTACAGATGCATACATAGTATACTGTTTTGCACATTAGAAACATCATGCAGCTGCTTTTTTTCATATCCTATGGGTTATTCCATCATTGAGAACAATCCCACAGAATAGGACTTTAGATTAGTTTTGTACTTTTTTATTGAATATTTTTGTATACTAGTTTGTATATATCTTAGATTTTTATTAACACAAATTCTGAGGAAAAACATTGATAAATCCAGTTCTGTATACTTCTTGAATTTTTTGATGCATACTTCTGAATTTCCCTCATTAAATTTTCAGAATACATACATTCACCCCAATGTGTGAATGTATTCATTTCCCAAAACTTTATTAATCACTAATACTCTTTCTAAATTATTGTCCTTTTAACAGGTGAAATGCTGTTTCTTTTTCTTTTGCATTTCTGCATTTATTTTACTAGCCTGGATAATTTTATAATTTGAATTTAGAAATAGTCAACTGTGGCAGCTCATTATGGCAAGAATCAACATTTTTTTCATGTTTATTGACCTTTGAGTTTCTTGTTGAGTAAATTGCTTATTCCTGCCTTTGCTTACTTTTTATGGCTGTGTTTACCTCTTTTGCTAATTTATAATAGCTCTTTATATTTTTAAAATTCTGACCCTTTTGCTATATGTTGAACTATTTACTGTTGATGTTTATTAACATGAATAGACATAATTTATGTTAAATTGAAAGTAGGGATTCCATTTTAATAGTGAGTAGCATCCTTGAACAACTAGAAAAATAGAAATTTAGAATTCCTGTGTTCTGTTTAAATCACTGTAAAATGTGCATTTCTCTCCTTTTACCCAGAAAAAAATAATTATCCCGTAAACACAGTCTCAACATTGATGGAATTAACTAAACCTTGAAAATATGAAACAGTGGCATAGACCAGCAAGTAAATTGCCAGATATGTTTTAGCCTTCTAGCATTTTTGATACTGTTCTTCATTCACAGTTTGTGACATCCAAGTATGCATTATGATTTTAAATATTTAAAAGTAGGAACTTGTTTTGCTTGAGTCCATTCTAACACTGTTGCCATAACAGGTAAATAATTAGCTATATAATGGATATTTATTAGGAAGATTATGAAGACAATAAAATTTAAATTCAGAGCCAGGCGTGGTGGCGCATGCCTATAATCCCAGCAACCAGGAAGCTGAGGCAGGAGCATTGCTGTGAGTTAGAGACCACCCTGGACTGCATAGTGAGTTCCAGGTCCATCTCAACTACATAGTGAGACCCTGTCTCAAAAAACAAAAAAAATAAGTTCATAATTTAGTAATAAAGTGTTCTTAGTTCATGGCACTTTATAAACATGTTTCTTTAAAATGTAGAAAAGAAGTAGGAGTTATATTTATCAACTTATCACCTATTAAAATAGTTTCTGAAAATAATTCTTTGAACAAAATATTGCCTGAATTGAATTTCCTATGAGGAAAACAATACTAAATAAAAGAGGTAAAAAATAAGTTTTTAAAAAAATACATATTCTAATAATGTTAGCTAATATTTGTTGTTTTGAAATTCAGTGATATTTTTATTGTTTGTAAGTTGATTTGTAGAGCTGTGGAGAATGAGTTATAATGTGTTGATTTATTTTAAAGATATTTTTAATACATCTGACATTTGTAAAGTAGATAAAAAATTAAAATAACTTCTCATTGATAAATGTAACAGTGTGCTTAGAAAAACATGATTTAAAAAGTTAAAAGTTACTTCTAGCAAGAAATTAAAAACAAAAACTTTATAATATCTAAAACTTATACATTTAATTGGTTTTAAAAATCATGAATAGTATTGAATCTTCAGTCTAAAGAAATTTATACCCTTCCAAGAGGAAATTTTCTCTCAGATTTCTTTACCACAGATTGCCGTATTAAAACCTTTTTAATATATAGTGTTCACATTATGTACTCATGTAAGTAACCTTTCAAACATTAAAGTTGTTTCCCCCTTTTTTCTGCCACAATGATTGAAGACAAAGAATAATATGGTGAGTCTTCTCTGAATATGCATGAATTGTGATGGCTGTAAGTTTGTGTGCTTTCTCTTATTTACAAGAAGAGAAAGTTTGTGATTCCTTTGTACAAACAAAATTAAAGGAGCGTTTCTTATTAACGCTTTTAGTTTTTAATTTAATATTACAAATACCGAAGACACAAGGGTTGATTTTTTTTTAATAGGTAACTAGAGCAAGAGTAAAATATTTCAGTAAGTTTATTGGTGCTTTTTAGTTTTTTTCAGTACAGCAGTTACATTCATCCTTGGGATCTTGAACCATTACATGATGTATCTTGATTCTTATTTTTTCCACATACCCCTGCCCTCCCTTCACCTACTCCACCCTTCCCTATTTACACAAAGGCTTTGCTTCCATTTTTCTCTTTAACCTTCTTTCCTTTCCCCCACCCTTCCCACTTCCCCTACTCCTTTAGACCTTTTCTTCCTATTTCACACTATCACTTATACAATATGAACCTTATTTACACTTTCAGTTTTTCATACCAGAGAAACTATTCAGTATTTGCACATGTGTCCTGTTTATTTCACTTAACTATAGTCTCCATATGCATCCATTTACCTATAAATAACTCTAGTTTCTCATTCTTTATGGCTGTTCTCCATTTTATAAACACACACACACACACACACACACACACACATCTTTATCCAATCTCCAGTTGATGTGCAATTGGGCTGTTTCCAAGTTTTAGCTATTACAAACTGTGCCACTATAAATATAGGTATGCATATATTATTGTGGTATGATACTTTTAATTCTTTTGGAAAGATACCCAGCACAGGTATAGCTGGGTCAAATGGGACCTCAAATTCTAGTTTTCTGAGGTATCTCTGTATTGATTTCCACATTGGTTGCATCAGTCTACAGTCTCACCAAAAATGGAGAAAGGTTCCTTTCTCCCCAACCCCGCCACCAGTACTTCTTATTGGTTTATTTCTTGATAGCAGCCATTCTTTGTGGGGTGAGGTGGAATCTCAATGTTGGTTTCATCTGCATCTCTCGAATGACCACTGATGTTGAACTTTTTTTTCATATATTTATTTGTTGCTTTTACTTGTTTGTCCAAGAAGTGTCTGTTCATTTCAGGTGCCCACTTTTGGACTGGTTCTTTATATTTGAGTGGTCTGATGTTTTTGAGTTCTTTATAAATTCTAGATAATAGACCTTTGTCTGAAGAACAGCTGGTAAAATTATTTTTCCCATTTTATAGGTTGTCTCTTTGTTCTGTTGGTGGTTTCTCTTACAGTGCAGAAGCTTTTTAAAAAGATGAGATCCAAGGTGTTGATTCCTTGTGCTAGTTCCCATTCTACTGAAGATTTGTTCATAAAGTTTTTTCTTATGACAGTGTCTATGAGACATCTACCTAACTTATCTTCCAGCAAGTTTAATACTTCTATTTTAATATTTAGGTCTTTAATCCACCTGGATTTTAGTTTAGTACATGGTGAAAAATAAGGGTCTAGTTTTAATCTTTGGCAGATTGAAATCCAGTTTTTCCAACACAATTTATTAAAGAGGCTATCTATCCTCCACTAAGGATGGTTTGCTCCTTTGTCAAAGATGAGGTAGCTGAGTACATCTGGAGTTATTTCTGTATCTTCCAATCTATTCCAATGATCTTTGGGTCTTTTTCTTTGCCAGTACCATGCTGTTTTTATCATAGTGGCTTTGGAGTATAGTTTCAGGGTGGGAATTGTGATACCCCCTGTCATGTCGTTGTTGCTTAGCATGGCTTTCACTATGCTAGGTCTCTTCTGGTTCCAAATGAATTTTTGGATTCTTTTTTCTAATTCTGTGAGATATAGTGTTGGAATTTCAATCAGGATTGCCTTGAATCTGTATAGCAGTTTTGAAAGTGTGGCCATTTTCACTATGTGCATTCTTCCTACACAGGAGCAAGGGATGTCTTTCCATTTTCTTATATCCTATTTGACCTCTTTTTTCAGAGTGCTATAGTTTTCAATGTAGAAGTCTTTTTCTTGCTTCATTAGATAATCCCTAGATATTTCTCTTTTTTTATGCTGTTGTAAAAGAAATTGTTTACCTAATTTCTTTCTCAGTGAGTGTTATTTGTGTACAACAAGGCTGTTGATTTTTGAGCATTAACCTTGAATCCAGCTACTCTGCTGAAAGGGTCGATTAAGTCTAGAAGTCTTTTGGCAGAGTTTTTTATGTCTTCTATGTAGGAAATGATGACAGTTTAACTTCTTTGTTTCCTATCTTTATTGCTTTATTTCTTTGTCTTAATTGTTGTGGCTAACACTTTCAACACTATGTAGAACAGGAATGGTAACATGGACATCCTTCTCTTGTTCCTGATTTTAGTGGGAAGGTTTTCAGTTTTTTACCATGTAGTATGATGTTGGTTATTAGTTTTTCATAGATAGCCCTTATCAAGTTGAGATAAAGACTCTCTAATCCAATTTTCTGCAGAATTTTTATCATGAATGAGTTGTTGTATTTTGTTGAACACTTTTTCTGCATCTGTAGAGATCATATGATCATATGGTTTTTGTCCTTGGCTCTGTTAATATATTGTATTACATTTATTGATATATGTACATTGAACCATCCTTGCATCCCTGGAATAAATCCAACTTGGTCAGGGTGTATGATCTTCTTGATGACCCTCTGTATTCTGTTTGTATATCTTATTGAGGATTTTT